GTGGTGTCCTGTCACCTGGAAATTGCTAGAAATGCATGTTCCCAGGCTCCCTCTCCACCTGTGAAACCCTGGGGGTGGCCCAGGTACCTGTGGTGCGGTGGCCACCGCTGATGATCTCCTGCTGTGGGGTGATGTCACCGTTCTTTCCGGGAGGGTGCAGGTGGACCCAGGGGTGGGAGGTGGGGAGAATCCCGCAGGGACTTCAGGGACTGAGTTTAGTGCTGGGGTTCATTTTTACTCTGCACAGGAGTCTCCTGGGGTCACCTTGTGTATCATGTCCAGCCTTTTTTTTTTTTTGAGACAGTGTCTCGCTGTGTCACCCAGGCTGGAGTGTGGGTGGTGCAATCTCCGCTCACTGCCAGCTCCTCCTCCCGGGTTCACGCCATTCTCCTGCCTCAGCCTCCTGAGTAGCTGGGACTGCAGGCGTCTGCCACCATGCCCAGCTAATTTTGTATTTTTAGTAGAGGTAGAGTTTCACCATGTTGGTTAAGCTGGTCTTGAACTCCTAACCTCAGATGATCTCCCCACCTCGGCCTCCCAAAGTGTTGAAATTACAGGCATGAGCTACCACGCCCACTGGGCTAATTTTTAAGTTTTAGAGATGGAGTCTCACTGTTACCCATGCTGCTCTCAAACTCCTGGCCTCAAGCAGTCCTCCCATATTGGTCTCCCAAAGTGCTTGGATTTGCAAGCATGAGCTACCACACCTAGCCAAAAATTGATCTTTCATTTTAAACTTCATCTAGAGATGTGACAAAAACCAAAAGAGGTATTTGTTAAAATACTTTATAACCCAAGTACAGTAATAGAGTAATCCAACTGACAATTTCACAAAACTCAATTTTTGGCAACAAGTTCAAGGTTATACATATTAATAAAGATAACATTTATTCAACCAGAGGAAAAAGGTTACGATGATAGAATTTATCTTTTTCTTTACTATGTTGCCTGAGCTATGGTTAAGGTTTGGGGAACTGGTATCTTAAAGAACCTTCAGAAATTTCTCATTCTAGAATTTAGAAACAAAGTTTACACTCTCGGGGTTGAGAGAATCCAGAAGCAATCACCACCCCTAGTGTCCAGATGCTACTCTCCAAAGGCCCTTCCCCACTAGCCACAGAAATCAGAGCTCCCTAGGAAACAGACAGTTGAGTCTCTGGAGCAGGGAGGGCCTGGCTGTGCATGCTTTAGGGAGTTGGGAGTGGGGGTGTAGAAACCAAAGAAGTGAGACCAAAATGGGCCAACAGCTGGGGCAAATGTGGGCATAACACTAAATTCCATCTGATCACATAGTCTCAAATATGTACATATACAGAAATATTTCTGTGAGGTCACAGGGGTGCTAAAAAACAAAACAAAAGACGGGGGGGGGTAAAAAAGAAGAAAAGAAAGAACTCTCTTCTCCATGTTGTGCGCAGTGACTCACGCCTGTAATCCCAGCACTTTGGGAGGTCAAGGTGGGCAAATTGTTTGAACTCAGGAGATCGAGACCAGCCTGGGCACCACGGCGAGACTCTGTCTCTACAAAAAAATATAAGCACTAGCTGGGCATGGTGGTGAACACCTGTAGTCCCAGCTACTCAGGAGGCTGAGGTGGCCCAGGAGGCTGAGGCTGCAGTAAGCTAAGACCATGCCACTGTACTCCAGCCTGGGGGACAGAACCAGACCCTGTCCTTAAAAA